ACACACACACACACTCGTGACGGCTGGAACGCGTCCGGAGCAGCACACGGTGTTGAGATCAGCTTTAAACACTGACACAGAATCCAGCAAATGCTTCCTTCACTCGGCAGCTTCAGCTTCAGCCATTAGTGTGTCTAACCAGCTTCACCAGCGGTAGCGCATCACAGAGATGGAGACGTGTAATCATCACACCAGCTTTTCAAGTAACTAGTGAAGGCTTTACTATTACAAAGATGTTCACTGTTCACTGGCCTGTCTTCTCCCCGTGTTCAGAGGACTCTGCTGTGTTTGCTGTGAGAAACACGACACCTGCCGCTCGACTGTGGACATGTTCCCTCATCACTGTGAATGCTCAGCTTTCTTCATGTGTGCTTTAATATCAGTCCAGGTTTGTTGAACTCATCAACACATTCGTCATAGACTGAAGTGTAAATATATTATAACAAACAAATGAGTAGATCCAGCCCTGCTGACCAAGTAAAGCAAAGGTAGTGTAGAGTTGACCAGAATACTGCTGCTTATGTCATCTCCAATGTTGATTCTGTGCCATTGACTTAACATTGGACCAAACTTCATGACCTCATAACTCTGCACCAGACTGTCAAACAGACTTAATGTTGGGCTCATTTACCTCAGACTACCAATGTCCCAATCACTGATGACCATTCAACTTACTAGCTACACCCTAGCGACCAATTACGGCACCTTAGCAACTGTCCCATAGACTTCCATTGTAAAAAACTGTCCTTGACTTTACACTGGACATACTAACAACACACCAATCCATACTAGCAACATGCTAATTAATACTATAATCATAAAAGCAACATGACAATTCATACTATAATCATGCTAACAACATGCTAGTTTAAACTAGAAACATACTAGTGACATGCTAATTCATACTAGAACCATGCTAACAACATGCTAATTTATGCTAAAACATGCTAACAATAAGCTACTAGAACTATGGTAATTTATGTTAGCAACTGCCTAGCAACCACTCAGGGGTGCACATTCCAAACAGCGACGTAACTCGTATCTGAACTATCATAGCACGATCGTTGGAAAAGAATGATGTAGTGACGAGTGTTTTTCAAAACCCGTAGCTTCTCTGTGGCAAATCCATCGCTTGAACCACGTTAGTTATAATGCAAAACGCCAATAATGACGCTCTAAAAGGAGTGAAGGAACTACTTCTGTAGAGAAGAGCCTCGTCATTTATTTGTGCAGATTATACTGTTTTACACGCACACACATTTAAAATAATCCAATACTAGTTTAGGTAAAATCCTGCACTCGCTCTCCATATTACACTGAAATATATGTAAACAGCACATATAGGCCTGTGTTCCCTTTACTGATTAACTGAGAACGACATGTCCTATTCTAAAACATACAATCATAGAAACAAATAAATAAATAATGAGGCTATTTATTATAAAATGAAATGTAATATTTATTATGCATTAGAAATGAAAACATCCTACTTCAATAATGATAATGATGATGATGATTATTGTTGAGTAGGATATTGTTTATTTATTTATTTATTTTTGTTTTGTAAAGTCTACTTTTACAGTTTGACACTTGTAAATCACTGCAGAAATGTTCTATCCAGCAGGCCCATACCAGTACAGATACTTAATAAATCACCCACTATAAATTAAAACATTATCATATGCTGTGTTGTTTCCACAAGCTTTAGAGACGTACATTAACTCCGCTTTTAAATAATAGGTCACCTGTAGCTTTCGTCATGAGGCTGTGTTCAAAATGACATCAATGTTTTTAAAGTGCACTGCGAAGGGGGCACAATTGTAAACATGAAGATTGCTAAAACTGAACTGTAGAAATACTCTGAAAGCAAATTACAGCTAAGAGAGACGAGCTTCAGGCTTTATTTTAGTTTTAATATTTCCAACTTTGAATGCTAGAATGTTGTAAATGAACAGGGCATAGAGAGGATAACTGCGAATAGAACACAGCCAGGAACTCTGTTTCTAATACAGCTCCAGAGGTGTAGTTGTGAGTGCTCAAGTTTGGGACGCAGTTTGCGAATGTTCGTTAGAGTGACGGATTTGGGAAACGGCAAATCAACAAACTTTGCTTGTAACAACGCAACTTGCGACCCTGTTTGGCTAACAATGGTTTTGGGAAACGCACCCCAGAACACCTTTGCAAAAACCTAGCAAAACCTTAGCAACCACTCAGAACACCCTAGCAATGCTTTAGCAACTGCCTAGCAGCACCATAGCAACCACCTAGTAACCAATCAAAACGCCTTAGCAACCACTCAGAACATCTTAGCAAACACCAAGCAACATCTTTGCAACCACCTAGCACCAACTTTCAATGACCGAGCAACCACTCGGAACACCTTAGCAACCACCTAGCAATGCCTTAACAAACGATCAAAACACACTAGCGTTGCCCTACCAACCACTTAGAACATAATAGCAACTGCCCAGCAACACCATAGCAACAACTCAGAGCACCATAGCAACCACCTAGCAAAAAACATGCCAATCCATGCTAGAAACCTGCTAACCCATATGCAGTGATCTGTGCTGTGCTGACTGCTTCACACTTCTTAAACTCCTTCAGTCCTGTAATTTGTAAATCTACTTCAGACGTTCACACTCGGCTTCCTTGTATGGAGCTTTACTGTGCTAGTGTTAGTGAGTAGAGCTCAGAGAAAAGGGCTTCATTTGGGCATCATCATGACTGACAGTGAGCATTGCTCCGCCGTTCTCGTATCTCCACTGATGTTTAAAGTCAGTGTGTGTATGAGCGCATGCTGTTGCTGTAATCTAACACAGATACCAAACTGGGCCGTCTCGTTTCTGAGCCTATAACTACTGTTAAATGTTACTGTGCTCATGTGCTTCATACACGCGTCATTAATTCAGACGTCTCTGAAGGCCATTATTCATTTTCAACAGGGTTTGGGTTTCACTCAGACCCTCTTAGTGCTCGGCGGCTGAAACTGAACCCAGGTCAGTGATGAAGTGATGAAGTGGCGAAGGCCATGATTAAAACAGCTGTGAGCGAGAGGAGGAGAGTTTGAGCTTCAGCCACGCAGAACTGGAGACGCCGTTCAAATAAACACTTCCTAAAGGGTTCGCTGGGTCCGACTGTGCAGACTGTCTTTTTGATCACAATAAACAATTTGACCTAAACATGAGCAAGCTCAACAATAAAGACATTTTAATGTAGTTAAACGTAAATCTACTAAAAACCAGATAACTGCATTAACACATTAATAAACATTAACAATAATAATAAAAAATTGTAATACATTTTTAAATATGCAAAATGTACAGACAAATATTTCATAAATACATTTTCTAAACTTGTGTATTTATAAACATATATGATTATATAATAAAACATACATTAAACAGGCCCATAGCCAGGGGGGCTTCGGGTGGTTCACTGACAAAGGTCCAGAATTTGTCATTGGTTCTGATTTGATCTACATTGACTGCTAAATTTTTGTGGAAATAACCACAATATGACATAAGTGAAGTCAACTTTCACTACTAAAGGACAGTTGTTGAAAAAAAAACATTGTACAAGTAGCCTAACTTTTCTAAATCTTGAACCTTATTCTTGAGAGAAAAAATTGACCAATGAAAAGGTCAGAAGCCCCAAAAGCAGCCTATGATATTACATATAGTGTGTCGGTGCTCTTTGTGTAGAATACACATCAAAATCAGTCCAAGGCACTCATAAATGTGGAAAAAACTATATAAAGCCTTTATTGGCATGGCTGTTCCTTTAAACTGCGACTACATACAACACAATCTCACGGCAATTCGCAACTTTTTAATTTAGTGGCTAATAAGTATGAATTCGTACGATCTAATTCGTACAATTTAGTACTATTTGCTTATCCCCCAATGACGGTTGGGGTTAGGGGTGAAGCTCTTTTTTACATTAGTTTTTATAAATCTTTAGGAAATATTTTAATACATCAAAAATGGAGGATACATCAAGCTAATCCAGCGAAAAATAGAGCTTTAAATGCCACTTACTGGAGTATTCAAAGATAATAATTAAATAGAAAATGAGGTGAATAACTGCAGAAAAAGTCCACATTTTGAGATAAAAGAACCAACCCTTACACCAGGCTGGCTACAGCCTGTTAAACATGCAACATTAGAAAAAATCTTCAAACTACTTTTTAAATTACTTTAATACTTTACAGTTTGTTTATGTTAAATAATGGGTATTTACATTTTATTGTAGAATACATGACGGTTGATAATAAATATATTTTAAAATTTTTAAATATGTTTTATTAATTCACACAGTTAGAAAATGTTTTAGCATATATTTAAAACATGTTTTAGCGAAAAAATAAAATAAAAAGGCGACCAGCTCCTCTCGCGGGAGCGCGCCGCGCGGGTCTTCGCGCCCTTTCCACCTGAGGCGATTTTACGAGATCACCGGCAGCCTCTGGACTATCGCGACCGAAATGGGAATATAGTGCAGAAAATATGAGTTATGCTCGGATTACCGTGACGGGCAGACTGTAGAGAGAGTCGAGAGAGCGTCCACACGACAGAAATCCAGATATTTGAAACATCAGGTAAGTTTTTGTGTTATTACTAGTCAAAATGCCGTCAAAAATCAGTCAAAATGCCGTCAATTGGACGCTATCTTCACAGCTTTACACCGTGTTATTATTTAAAGTGAGCTCGGAGACTTCTAGAGAATAAACATGTCGAATACTGTGAAATATGAAATCAAAGTTCATCACGGAGGTTCATTTGGCGAACATTCAGACAGTGCAGCTGAGGCCCAGTGTCCGTCCACAG